TAAGTTGTCGTGATGCATAGGCGATAACTTTTCCTCTTTGCATCAACACACATCCTAATCCTTGATTTGATACGTCGCAGTATACAACGAAATCTTCCGTTCCATCTGGAAGGGATATGATTGGTGCACTACACAACATTTGCTTTAGTTTCTGAAAAGCAGCTTCTTGTTTGTCTTCCCAGTTGAACTTCGTATCCTTCTGGGTTAGTGTTGTAAGCGGCTTGGCTATTTTGGAGAAATTCTCAATGAATCTATGGTAATAGCCAGCAATTCCTAGGAATTGACGCACCTCTGTTGGCGTCTTTGGTGCTTCCCAATTCCTGATTGCTTCAACTTTGGATGGGTCAACATGAATTCCTTCTTTGCTAACTACATGACCTAAAAACCTTGGATTGTCTATTGACCTATTTTGACTAGTGTTACACATTCTAACACTCCTATGGTGTACATGCAACCCTATAAACCTTGGATCTGTGTTTTCTCTATTATACATGCAAATATTCAATATTCCAAGGTTTCATCCTAACTAACATATTATGAAGCAACTATACTACAAAGTTCTAGTTAGATGACATACCTTTTGATGTAGCTTGATTCCTTGTACCTTTAAGAGCTTAGTGCCCCAAGTGTTGCACCTCAAATGGTTCACACAACACCACCAACAAATGGAATAACTTGAGAAGGAAGGATACTTAGGTTCACACTTATGAAGTCGGTTTGCCCTCTTTAGTGTATCCACAGTAGTGCTTAGCACCCATTTCATGAACCATTGACCTTTTTATACAGTGTGGAGGATTAGGGTTACATTCATGTAAATCCTAATACCCATAACCTGTCATTTCCATAGGATCCATGGGTTAAACACTCCATGGACTATCCATGAAAGCTTAGCCCAACCTAAATGAACTTGGCCCACCACATATAAATATAAGAGTTCATATTTAATTAGTTCGTTTTTTATTACTAAATTAACTCTAAATTTGTTCTTGATCAATACTAATTAAATAATATGATTTCATATTAATATGTTAGAACTTATAATATATTAGTATAAATCACTAGTATCCTTTTTCTCATTTTTGTCTATCCAATTGTCCCGATGCCATGCAACCCAAATGGACCATGCCAAGTCAGGTCGAATACATACCAATAATAGTTTGGGCTTAGAAATCTAATTCAACAGTTGCTCACTCTATGCCGTATGGAGAACGCTGGCGTTGCTGCCTGCTCCACCTCTCCAAGTCCTCTGGCCAGCGGGACGTAGGTCCCTGGTATTCCAGTCGCCGTGCGGGAACTTGGGCAACATAGGGAGGATTAATGACTTCGGACTCTATGTCCGAATCCTCCTCTACCTCATCCTCGTATTCTTTTTCCTCCTCCTCTGGATCCTCTTCGGGATCCTCTTCGGGCTCTTCCTCCATGATCTCCTCAGGATCCTCTTCGGGCTCTTCCTCCATGATCTCCTCAGGATCCTCTTCGGGATCCTCTTCGATCCATCCGCCATTTCCCTGGTTAGGGAAATAGGGGTCTCCGGGCATGTGAAATCTTGCCATGATGTCTGTGCAAGAATAAAGATATAAGAAATACATGAAAAGCTTAAGTGTATGATCCTGTAGTATTCTAAAATACTCCTATAGTATTTTAAATCTTTATGTTTGATTCTAGAGCTTCTTGGTATATAGGGTTGGTAAGTTTTAGGTTTGTTGCCCACCACAACCATTCCTAAACACATGTTAGTCATATCTCGCATAAATATAGCTGATCAGGCTATATTTAACCTATATATGATTACATAACTGTCTAGGCTTAACCGTAGTGTTTAACTCCTGTAAATACTTTTTATATGATTCTTATCGTGACACTATTTCTATTATGTATGCATGTATGTATACTTTTATAAAATACTTATACTTAAAAAGTATACTTTTAGTCAGAGTGTTTTAGCCCCATTGTATTTATAGTTGTATATCTTACATGGTTTGATATACTTAGTTCACTATAAACAATGTTCTGATACCAATCTGTCACACCCCCGAGCCGGAACATCGGAAATGTCCGGGGATAGATGACTTTCATGTACAGTATCATAACAGTTGAATAGTAGTGATCAAAGCATTATAACCATCATATTGAATATTTAACATGTTTACATTGTATCCCAAATAACATATACATATGACCAAAAATAATTAACGGGATGTGACGAATCCTCATCCTCCAAAAACACTTTGATTACCTCTTTACTGGTTTCCTAAGAATACAAGTGATTTTGAAAAGTGTCAACAATTAAGTTGGTGAGTTCATAAGCGTTTTGTATGAGAAGGATTTGTAACTGTTTCGTGCAAAAAAGATAGTGTATACTTTAAGAAAATCCAATATTTTCTTTAAAAATGAGTTGTAAGTCTTAAATCCCAAGACTAAAAATGTAAGTAATGCTGTACTGAGAAATAGTGTTATGAAGTTTTAACTTTATATAACACTACTTGAATGTATGTTAACCCGTAAACCAAATGTTTTTTTAATACCCTATGTGAGTTATTATGACCATACTAATGCGACTAGTGGCCTGAACGACATGCTTCGAGTGTCGGAACTGTTACGACATTTGTCACCCCAGACCTGCCGGTCTAACAATAGCTAACAGTTTGGGTGCGGGGTTGTCAATCTCATATAGATCTATACACAAGTGTCACGCTCTCCCTACAAGAGACTCTGGTTATAATTCAGGACTTAGGTGTGTACTCTGGTAGGTACGATGAAGCCAAATGTCTCACAACCAGTATCAACCGATTTACGTGAACTGAAAACTCATTTTTCTTGTAAATGAAATAATTATACCTTTAAATAATTATATGTTTCTTCTGAAATGATAGTGTAGTGTCTGTGACTCCCAAACTATACCAATTATAGTTCATCTTGTTTGTTTGTTGAGACTATTTATATAATCATTTATATAAATACATAGTAGTGATCTTGTCTAGTGTAAAAATGTAAGGTCAAACCTCATATTTTTGGGTTGTAACCCACAAAATGGTGAAATAATTAGAATGTACTCTTTTTTGTTAGAAAAGCTATACTCTGGTAACAAACTTCAAAAGCCATGTAGTATTGCAAACATAATTTTTCTTATGACTTTATAACATAGATTATGTTTTGTTTTTGTTAGTTTTGCATTTCAAAACTAATATATCACAAATAATTGTATAAAAGCTAGTGAAAATCATACTTCATGCAAATAATGTATTTTATTTAACATAGAGAATGAAACATGCAAGTATTTGTGTGATAAACCAAGTTTTACTTGTATTCCCCTCCCCCCCCCCCAAAAAAAAAAAACTTGAAAAACTCGAAAATGTAGGGGTATGAACTCACCTTGAGTAGGTTTGTGGTTGGGTATAGAGAAGTTTGTGAAGATATTCAAGCCTAGAATACTTGGAAGTGGTTGATGAATTCATTGAAGATGTTATTATCCTAAGAGTTTTAACACATAATAATGTGTGTATATAAGATGAAACTAACATGAAAGTGTATAAAAACACTAGATTAACAAGAAAAGCTTACCAGAATTCTAAGAATAAACTTGGAGATTTTGAACTTGAAAGATTTGGACTTGGTTCTTTGAAAGAAATGAAGTAACATAAAGTAATGTGGAAATGGTGAGGGATTTATGGGTGATTTCGGCCAAAGATAAGGGGGTAGGGTGATGGGATGTTTACTTTGTTATTTATTGGTTAAAAGAATGGATATTTGCTGGGTATTATTTTGCATTGGAAAAGGGTGAACTTCAAGTCACAAAGTCAACCTTCCTTATCTTCTTTTTCCAGCCGAAAACTCACGGAAAACTCCTTAGTATGACCGAAATCACATGTGATTTCGGTCTAAGGAGGATTTCGGTCTAGGGGTGTTTGGTTCTAGCATGTTTTTGGTTCTAAGTCTTCCTCACAAGGTGTTTTTGGTTAGGTATCACCCACTAAAGGGTGATTTCGGTCTTAGTGTTATTCTTAACATGGGATTTCGGTTTTGGTGTTACCCACTAAAGGGTGATTTCGGTCCTAGGCAAACCGAAATCACTAGGTTAGTGGGATTCTATGTCGAAATCTCGAAGGCAGTGTGTAATTTATGATTGGTTCTAACTTGTTGACTTTCAAAGGCTCATTATAAGTATGATTTTTAAAGCATACATATTTACTTATACAAATAATGCCCTTTTGGCTTTCAAAGTTTTATTGCAACAAAGTTCCGTTGGAGATTCACTTATACACAGAATACACTTTAGACTTTGCTCGAACCAAAATTTGTTAGTTGTCACACACATACACGCGCGCGCACACACACACACACACAGAGAGAGAGAGAGAGATGTATGGTGGGACCCCTTTCTTTAATAATTAAATAAATTAAAATTAATAAAAAAATAATTATATAAATACATGAACAACCATAAGAAAATGAGTTTACTAAATAAAGATAAGTACATCTAACCGAAAAACTTGTTTCAGTCTACATCTACACCTAATTTGGCCAAACATATCGAATATATTGAACAAAAATTATATTATAACAATTATTTGTTTAAATTTTTGGTTGACACATCTCACATGTTTAAACAATTAGTAAAATAGTAGTACACTCAACTTTAAGATACGTTATTCTTACAACATTTAGTTTCGTTAGTTTCATTATATATAAATATATTAACAATAATGTCCACAAATTACTATTAGCAACCGGAAATGAAATCCAGTACTTCATTGTTGTTTCTTCTTTATGCACTCATCAATCTCTTTATTCTCGTCAATACGGACAAAGTGGAGGATGATAACCTACCCCGAGATGCTAAAGTCTACAAATGTAGAAACACCGGCAATTACACATCCACCAGTTACAAAAATAACATCAAATCTGCACTCTATGTAGTCGCCAAAAACATCGCAGCCAATAACGGCTTTTACCATTCAACAGCAGGTACCACTGAACCGGTCAACGCTGTTGGCCTTTGTCCAGGTTTCCTTCGCTCAAACTTTTGTGAGGAGTGCGTGAATAGCACCATCCCATTGCTTGAAACGAACTGCCCTAATCAAAAGGAAGGTGTGGCGTGGGTCAAGGAGTGTATGATACGTTACTCAGATCGTAAAATTATGGGAGTGCTTGATGACTGGTTTTGGGTCCACTTTCCGGAGCTAGCTTAAGCACGCAGGCCTGCTGCTGAGATGGACAAGGCGTTGAGTGATTTGATAACTAAGTTACATACGCAAGCTGCTGGAGGTACATCGGCTAAAAAATATGCAACTGGGAATATAACTTATGCACCGGATATCACATTAACATTGGTTATGCAGTGTACCCCTGATTTGTCCAAGGAGCAGTGTACTAAATGTTTATCCACTACAAAGCATACAGTCCGTACTTGCTGTAGTGGAAAAATGTCTGCACGAATGTTGTCTCCCAATTGTTTTTTGCACTATGATCATATAGATTTTAGGTTCTGAATTCAGACTCCGTGTACAAGACAAAGAATCATGTAAGTTGTTGGTATTGTTATCACGTTGAAAAAATGTGTAATGTTTAGTTCATTCATTCTAAGACAGGAGGGTATGGGAGGGAAGCTTCCTTCACTTTTTGTGGGCCATACCCTTTTTTCCTTCACTTTCTTTTCCTTCACCTAAAACTCAAGGAATGATGGGAAGCTTCCCTCACTATTTTGTTTTTTTTTTAATAAAATTAATTGATATTTATGATTTATAATTTTGAAATTAAAAACAACCAAAAAATTTAATTAAAAATAAAAAGCATTTAATTAATTAAAATAAAAATTACATTAAACCTAATATTTAAATTAGTAGAAAATTAAAAATATAGGGTTTATTTTGTAATTTTCGAAAACTATTTTTGTAAAGAGAATTCAAAGCTGGGTGTATTCTGCCATAAAACCAAAACATAAGGGCCAAATATACAATTTCCAGAAACTTTCATCTTCTTCGTGTTTAAAACTTGCAACTCCAAAAAAAAAAAAAAAACAAATTTCAGCCACTCACAAGAAGAGAGAGAACGCGGGGTATCGTCCCCTCCCCATTCCCGCTCCTCTGCCTCCCGCAACGACGGTGCGGTGTTCCGTCGTGCGGGAAGGCTCCCGCACCCCTTCCCTGCGATGATACCGTCCGGCCTAATGACAACCTTCATTATAATAATAATAATAATAATAATAATAATAAAGATGTTGATATAAAATTAAAGAAGGAAAACACGGACATAGATATGTTACTTCAAAATCAGGAAAAATAAAATACATTCTACTACAAATACCACCCAAAAACAAAAATATGAATCCTTCCTAATTTACCCTTTCTATTTCAAAAACGGGAAAAAAAGTTATGGCCAATGCTATTAAAATCACCATATTTCTACATCTTTTCTGATATACCGTTGCTGTTTCAAAAAAAAATGAAAGAAATCTGACCATAGTACATGTGTTTTTCCACTTTCAAGATGTAAAACAATCTTTCAAGATGGAAACTGATGTGGAAAACGGATCATATGGATCCATTAAAAAAAATATTATCTAATAACAACAAACCACAAAAATCATAACTCAAGCAACTCTGATTTTGACCTCAAATAGATGAAGTTGGAACTGTGAACTTCAGATTTTGAAATACAAAATTCAACACAAATTTAAACTCCTACAGTCTTACTCCTAAAGCAACCAAAAAAATCAAAAATGAAAATCCTAAAGCAAACTATTATAAAAAAAAATAATTAAGAAAACAAATATGCTTATTTCGAACAAAACGGATATATTTCGAAAAATTTTGTGACATCCCCAAATTCACGGCCAGAAAAGACCGATTTGTTTGTGCTTTGTTTTATAAAATCAGAGTAATCCTTTGATTAAAAGAGTTGCGGAATTCGTTCCCAAAGCAAAATATGATAAAATTTATCAAAACATTTCTCAAAGAGAATGTATTTTCATTAAATAATAAAACCTTGGGATGTCATGTTCCGATACAGACCAAAAGCATAAACAGTACAATTCGACCTTACAACAGTTATTTACAACTACTGGTCTATTATCCAAAATCTCTCGTCAAGTCCATCAACTTATACTCTTGTGTCATTACCTATAATACAAAGAAAACTGTGTGGGTCAGGCTTGGGAGCCTAGTGAGCATATAGGGTTTTCAACCCACAATGTTATATCATATATATATTAGAACTCACAAACATATACAATTTCACAATACACAAGCAACACTTATCCCACCCCGTCGATCCTTACAACGAAACGATCCATACTCTCGTATCACAATTTACCTCTTTACCTAATCCATACTCACGGATCTAAAACTAACCTCTCTACCAAATCCATACTCACGGATCTAAAACTGACCTCTCTACCAAATCCATACTCACGGATCTAAAATTGACATCTCTACCAAATCCATACTCACAGATCTAAAACTGACCTCTCTACCAAATCCGTACTCCCGGATCTGGTATCTGATCCATACTCCCGGATCTAAATTTACTTCTTGATCTGATCCATACTCCCGGATCAATAACTGTGCCCAATCCATACTCCCGGAATAGAGACAATTAACTATACCTAAATCCTGATCGGATCCATACTCCCGGACCAATAACTGTGCCCAATCCATACTCCGGGAATAGGGACAATTAACTATACCTTAACCCGTAGCTACCAAAGTTCTTCTCTAACAGGTGCTAGGTCCATAACTATCAATGTTTACTCATACCATCTTTCATCTCTCATCGTTCATCTACCCATGTTCTACCTAATATATTTTTAGATATAAAATACATATACAGTTTAACTTATTTAAAAACTATATAGAATATCCATTCCACACTCATCTCATATAAACAAACGATATATAAACACATAGCACGTATTTCATAGCAAATACTTCGTATTTATGTGTTAGAAGAAAGTAACTACACACTCACTTGATCAGAAGATGATCAGACTGTTGGGTTTTGTATACTACAACATCTTATGGTGCACATACAACCCTAAATACCTTGGATCTATGTTTCCACTAATTATACATGCAAATGGTTTCCAAGGTATTACACCTATAACTAACATGCAATTGTCATATACCATAGAAAATACTAGTTAGGGTAACATACCTTTTATGTAGCTTAGAGTCTTGATGTATTTGGCCTTAAGAGCTTAGCCCCAATAGTGTGGAAGCCTCAAATGAAGTCACAACACATCATGGACAAAGGAGGAACTTGAGAGAGAATTCCATGCACCCAAAAACACCCATAAACTCCAAGAATACACAAGTAGGCGTTTTTTAGGTTAAGAGCATGTATTTATATGTTGGATTTCAAGGGTCATGGGTATAACCCAAATCCATATCCATGGGTTTTATGATCCATGGTTCATGTGGCCCAACTCTTTATGTATACATACATAAACTTGGTCCAACATTGATCATAAGCCCAACACATATAAATATAACTAATTATCATAATTAGTCTCCATAGATTTCATTAGTCTCTTTTTATCACTAAATTAATTCCAAATTAATTCTTGATCAATACTAATTAAAACATATGATTTCATATTAATATATTATAACTTATAATATATTAATAAATCATATATACCATCTTCTCTCAAAAGTCCCTCCTAACAAATTGTCCTGATGATATGCAACCCAAATGGACCATGCTACTCTCGGGTCAAGTACATACCAATAATAGTTATGGGCTTAGACATCTAATCCAACAGTCTCCTACTTGGATAAGTCTAAAACTATTATTGCAAGTACGACTAGCAATCGTAACCTGACTAGCAATCGTAGCTCTTAAAGCCGTTGTCGAACTCTGAACAAATCAAATGACGCGTCCATTAGATAAGTGATCATATATTCCTCCATTCTAGATATGGACTGAGACATGGATTATAATCATTCTCTCTGTCCGTTTGTTGTTTCCCGATTTCTGATTTATGACGACTGACTAATTGGACAAATCAAATCAGTCCAGGCTTGGCCAAGCACTTAGGGGTGTCATCACAAAATCATCGAAGGGCCCACAGATATCGCTTTTATCCTGAAGGTAAAAGGAATGGATAAACTTCGACTCAGATGGCTTGTTCTACTACTTGTTGAATCATACACCAAGGCACGTTTTATAACATCGAGTTACCAATGCATTTTCGTGCAATCAATGTATAACCAACTCATAGTAACAACTCATATCTCTAGGTTTGAAGAATATAAGATATTATCTTCTCATGATCACTCGTGATAAAATCCATGAAGTGCGTCAAATGAGCGTGGGTTGAATCCAATACTCAGAACTTATGAGCACTCATGAGTGTTGTAGCAACTCTTGCTATGTACAACATCTTAGACATCTACAAACCAACTCATGACAGTCTTGATTCATATCTACTTCCAACATATGACCGAATGTGGATGGTTTGAATAACTTAGTCATCCGGGAAGAATGACCTAGTTTATTCTGGAAGTCAAAACATGCAAAGTGAAACACAAGAATAATACTAATCCTATATGGCCCCAACACTTTAAGTGTAAATAAAAACACCTTTTATCTAAGCACCATATTGATTACTCATTATTTATGTTTCGATTAATCAACTCAATACTTGAATAAAAACAATAGTCATGCCATGCTTCAAGCATGCACACTATGTTTGTCCAAACAATAGATATGCCATACTCCAAGTATGCACACTATGTTTGTCTATGGTCCTTACTTTGTGAACTGGATTAATTGAACATGATTCCAATGATGCTCATATCACAATCCCAATACTTATTGTAAATGTAAGAATACCAAACTCTTGCCATTTACTGTAATCTGTTAGATTCTAAACTTATATGCAATGATCCTCTTGTAATGACTATGCCCAAGTCACAAAGAATTGGCAACAAACATTACAGAGTATTCCAATGGAGAGCAATTCCATGGAAACGAAGTCTCACATTCAAAGTACATTCCTTTGAACATCATTCTTTGCATTAAGTTTTCTAATCTGACACAAATTCAATGAATAACTTCCACCTATGGAAACAATTCCATATTCCCATTTTGACTATCACTTCTGAACAAGAGTTGCCTTTTTTCAGAATATGTCAATATGATCCTATCCAAAGTTTACACTATACTTCCAATTGTCCATGAGCAACCA